AGAGCTAATTACTCGGTAAACAAGTGTCCAGTGATGCTTTCGTAAACACTCACTGTGATTCATTCATCATGAGCATCATGTCATTCCTTATGCATCCATGATAATTATCTTTTGCATCGGCATGCAATAGGTGTACCGGAAGGAGTAACCCTGCTGGAATTCGAGGAACCGAGCGAGCAGCAGCAGCCGACGTCGGAGATTCAGGAGGAGCAGCCTTCAGGAGAAGTGCCAGATGAGGTCGCCGTTGAGTGCCCGGACCACCGTCCTTGCAACTTTGTGAAAGGCAAGCCCCGGAGCATATTAAGCCTCCTAATTTCCGAAATGCAGTTACATTATTATTATTATATATCTATATATATATTGTTGCATTAAGTTTAGATGTTGGATGAGCACAATTCTTTGCATTGGTTACCCAATCCTTGTCGAGATATTGTTACCACCGAATCCTATGTAGCTCAAAGGCTCGTGTAGTGCTTAGCCACTCGCTTAAACGCGGTAGAAGTCGGGTGATTTTGTCACCTGCGAGATATAGGAATATACATGTGGCACGGTTGGCTATATTTGCTATCGTGGAAAAGAACCGATCTTAATTTGAAATGAAGACCCGGAGGAGGCTTGTCGGTTTGCGGTGACTCCGTCGTGTGTCGCTTAAGGACTGATTCTTGGAGCCTTTCTGTTCATGTTGAACGATGCCTCTCTCTTAGTTGGCGGGTGCGAGACCGACCACGAAGCCGAGTAGCTCACCTCGGCCGGAGTCGATAAGTATAAAGTGCGCCTCGAAGGGAGCCGAGGCGTGAGTCCAAGGGCTGGTGATTTAAAAGTCCTGATCGTCGTCTGGCGGAAGGGTAATCCCCGAGAGTCTTTGGTGTTGATCGAACCGCGAATTTGGTTCTGAGTTGTTCCAAAGGTGACCCGACTACCCAAAAAGTATGCCGGGGTGAGAGTTAGGAATACCCCTCGGTGAGTTGTAATTCGATTCGAGTTATCGTCTCTCTCGGTTAGTGAGAACTTGACGGGCTTATCTCCAATGTAGATACACTTAATAACTTAATGGTTCGGAAATGATGATATGATGATGACAAATTTTATATTATACCGCTATGGTTAATATTGTTTGCTCCTAATAAGTGAGTGCTCTAGTACATGTGCTAATCTAGTGGATGGGTAAATAATGATAAGCTTGATGCTAAGTTTAAATTGGTTACTATAATCATAAGCTCTTTTATGCAAGCTGTGTCAAGCTAGCCCACCTGAAAAGCCTTGCATGATCCTTGGTGTCTTTTATTTCTAGTTTTGATTGGGTAAGTCTAGCTGAGTACCTTCTCGTACTCAGGGTTTATCTCCCACCTGTTGCAGATGACCAGTTCTTCTTTGGTTGTTTGCAATCGCCTTCTCCACCGGGATGAAGACTAGGCCGTTGGGCGCGGTTTCTACTAGTTCTCGTACCTGATAATGCTTTTGTGGGACATGACTCTGATCTGGCAATGTATTTGAAACTATGAAGTTATGTACTAAACTATGTTGCTTCCGCGCTTTTGAACTTGGTTTGTAATATTTTCTTTGAACTCTGATGGATGTAATCCGAATGCTACTTATGAAATGTTGTAACGGATGATGTGTTGTGTTGAATCACTACGATCTTGGTTTGTATGTCGAGAGTTGGTTGAAATCCTTCGTGATTTCCAGACTACTGGGATTATGGGAGCTTAAGTATAGGAATTTGATCGCTTCGGTGATTGTTTTTTTGTACTTACGTTCTTATGATTTGGTCGGTTCTGTTACACCACGTCCGACGCCTGCCCGCCCACGTCTCGCCTGCTACGCCCGCCCGCAAGCATGTGGGGCCCGCCCATGCTAGTGGGGACCGCCTTTGCCTACGCTCGCTTCCTGCGCCGGACACTGAGGCGAGACAGCAGAAAGACGAGGAGGGAGATGCAATACCCGATCTAGTTTTGAAACATCTAGATGCAACAATTGTAACATAGTCTGAAACAAATGAAACATGCGTCTAAAACACTTGCGAAAACACCTAAAAACACTTGAAACCATTATAAACATATGCAATATCCCAGATAAAATACTTGCATCATATGTGTGAAAACATATGCAATATCCAGATAAACACACTTGCAACATATATGTTGAAAAAAACAGATGAAACATTGAGAATAGAAGGTTGCAATATATGTGTACAACCGTTGCAACATATGTAACATCTCGATCTACTTTTGTAACATCCGTATGAAATAATTGCAATATACCTATGAAATATCTGAAACACTTGAAACATGTGTTTGCAACATGGGGAGGCCGGGGCCGGTTGATTCCAACTGTCGGGGTCGAAGCTGGCGACGAGCGACGGCACACGAGCACCACCAGCACCCAACACCAGCGGCGCACGTGAGCACCACCACCAGCACAGGCTTGGCTCGGCCGGGCGGGCAGCACGCGCGACGGGCGGAGCGAGCACCACTAGCACCAAGGCCAACGACGGGAGGGAGCAAGAGACGCGTGTGATGGGACAGGGGAGCAGGCGACGAGCGCGACAGGAGGGGCTAGAGGTGCACACGACTGAGGGCGAGGAGCGCGCGTCAGCAGCGAGGCGGAGTAGCAACCGCGATAGGTGGATGGCGTGGTGGAGGTAGTTGCTGCGCAACTGTGGTGAAAGCGGCCGATACGTTCAGAACACTCTGGACCACACAAGAATTTAGGAGGCTACCTAGGCCGGACCACATGCCCGCCCGGGTGTAAGCATTTCTGAAAGGATAAACAGAGAGCTATTATTTTTCGTGTGATGAAAATGGTCTTAGGGTTAGCTCAGCTGTAAAACGTATAAAAGCTAGGCCTTGTTTAGATTGGGGTTAGGAATCAGTATTTGGCACTGTAGCACTTTCGTTTATATTTAACAATTATTGTCTAATCATGGCCTAACTAGGCTCAAAAGATTCGTCTCGTAATTTATAATCAAACTATGTAATTAATTATTTTTTTATCTACATTTAATACTCCATGCATGTGTCAAAGATTTGATGTGATGAAGAGAGGGTGAAAAAACTTACAATCTAAACAAGGCCTACTATATGATCTGAAAAGTTGTAGGGAGTTATATGCTATGAAAAAATTGTGAACTGTTTAGTTGAAATAACTATAAAACTTACCCTCATTTTGCTATCATCTCAAATAAATATCTCTGTATTTTCGCTCATTTGTAAAAGAAAAAGCCAAAAGCAGAGTCTAGAGCCCTATAAAAATGATATATGAAAGCAACAACTTCCCGAAAATATTTTTGGACTCCATCCGTTAGATTAACGATCCGTAAAAATACCTTCAAGAAGCTGAACCAAAAATTGTGGATGAGCCACGGGAGAAACAGAAGAGGATGGTCTCATATTGTCGACATGATATCATGACGTCGTGCACGGAGCAATAAATGAGGCGACGGGTGAGTGAGCTACATTTTCTTCCCTTCCAACAAGAAATCAATTGATGATTGATTTATTTGTTTAAGTTCTTTCTTTTCTGCTGTAAGGATTAATTAAGAACAATATAATAATAAAGAAGTGGGGATTTTTCTGGAAGGTGCGCATATATGGCAAGTGGCAAACTGTGGCGCAGCGTGTTAGCGTAATATCCGACCCTGGGACCGCGGCAAGCATAGAGACGGAGCAACGGATGCAGAAAAAAAGAGAGCATTCACCATCCTCCCTATCAATTCAAGATTCATCTACACAAAATAAATAAATACTAGTGCTAGGTATTGTCTAGTTTTTCCCTCTAAAGTTTAATCTCTATTCTATCATATGTTTGACTCATGCATCGAATATTAAATATAGACTAAAAAATAAATAATTCTACAGTTTACGACTAATTTACGAGACGAATTTTTTAAACATAATTAGTTCATATTTGATAACGTGATGCTACAATAACACATGTGCTAATAACGAATTAATTAGATTTAATAAATTCGTCTTACGAATTCTGTAATTTGTTTTTTTATTAATATCTAAATATTACATGTGACATCCTAAAATTTTAGATTCTAATTTAAATAAGACCTTATTATATTAGAAGGTAAGATCAAATCAGAGATTGATTCATTGAATTCTGATTGTTTCCTTCCATTCCAAACCACCTTCAATTCTGATTTCTGCGGGCGGAATTCCTTAAGGTCCCCTGTCGTCGTCCTCCCCTTCGCCACTCCAAATCCTCTGCAGATTTCTCATGGCAGCCGACGTCTCCATCTCCACTGGATCCGCCTCGACCACCCGCTAATTCCTCCTAGTTCTAGTCCCCTCTCTCCTGCGCAGACTCGTCTTCTTCCTCGCGTCACTCCCCTGCCGCTGCTGCTGACGCTGACGCTGCTGCCGGGAAGACCAAATCATTCCCGTCAAAGGTGCGGTCTTTTCTCCTCCCCGGTGCGTTCGTTCTAACGCAATCTTCCCGCAAACATTTGGATTTTACTGCTCTGTAACAATTTTCGGGAGACGCCATCCTCGCCCGATTTGATGTGGGATTCCTCCGCGGAATTTGGGGCGGGACTGAGGCGCTTTCAGAGGCTTTTTTTTTTCTTTGGGGTTGATATCGTGCTCAAATTGCCATCTTTTAACCAGGCCAATGCACTTTTCGTACCCCTGGAGACGACTCTGGATTCCGGGCAAATTTTAGATGGGTCATCGAGTGCTCTTTGCTCATGACTGTGGAAAAGAAATCCCTCCTGCTTTTTGAAAGCAGGTTGTGTAAAGAAATGAATCACTTTGACCTGTGATTTTGTTATTCTAGGCCTCTCCACCACTTACTATACTATCTGGGTGATGATAGAACTGTGCAGACTGTTCGTGTTACTGTGAAGTTACGCCATCCTGCTCTTTAATTTCAAGTTTATTGATGTTAGTAATGTATGATTGCAGGTGTTTTAGGTGATTCGTGCTTTCGACCTGGTACTCGGCATTAGTGCCTTCTGTTCAATTGCTGGACCGAAGGAGCAGAGTTCTGTCAAGATGGCATCTCCAAGAGGAAGGGCATCATTTCCCCTTTGTTTTTTTCTGATGATTTGCCTCATGGCACAGCTGGGAGCTTCCAATGTTGTACTCATGGCAAACGACACTACCTTGTCGTTCTATGATGTGGAGGCAACTTTTAGTGAGTGCTACGCATTATTACACTATCTCCATGTATCTCTGTACATGTCAATAGCAATCTGGTATTCTAATGGCAACACAAGCAAGGTGTTGTTTTTCTCAAACACACAAGTGAGTTGCTTGTCATTATTTAATAAGATATAAAAAACAGTATAAGAAACCCATACATCAAACACACACTCCAGCGCATTCTTAATTAGCTGTTGTTGTCATGTTCTGTTTTCTTTAATGCTAAATTTCCCTGTTTTTAGTGATTAGTGAATAGTGGGTTGATTTCTTTTTTTCTTTAGCCCTGTTAGTTACATGGTTCTTCCGGTTTCTTCTTATATAGTAGCATCATTTTTTGTATCTTTATGATCGATAATGTGCAGTGTTACTTGGGTTCCTGAACAAATCTATCTGGTTATGATATGCTTATTAACCTATTTCGCTCTTCCTGCAGCTCCAGCAGTGAAAGGTTCAGGTGTAAATGGTGTCCTTTATGCTGTGGAACCTATGGATGCATGCAGTCCATTGAGAACAAAAGCTATCGAAGGCTCTGTCTCACCATTTGCGTTGGTTATAAGAGGCGGATGCCAATTCGACGACAAAGTTAGAAATGCACAGAATGCTGGATTCAAGGCTGCTATAGTATATGATAATGAAGACAACGGCGTCCTTGTTTCAAGTAATTATCCAGGCATAATTTTTTTTATCATAGCTTCAGTTACATGTTATCCTTTATCAGTGCGCATGAAGGAGTGTTGCTCTATAAATATTAGAGTATTTCTTGTCCATAATGCTGTAAGTCATTAAACTGTTGAGAAGAGGAAAAATAATTTTGTAAAACAGCTCTAAACTATTAGATTAGTTTCATTGAAACTAAATTGTAGAGAACTGAAGCGATCAAACTTAACGGTACAACTTTACCATTTACAGTACTTGGTGTGTGCATATATTTGCAATATTAATTAACCAGGGATTATTGCAGTGGCTGGAAGCTCGTCTGGAGTCCACATATATGCGGTGTTCGTCTCTAAGGCATCGGGAGAGGAGTTGAAGAAATATTCAGGTCAAACTGATGCAGAGTTGTGGATAATACCAACATATGAGAACTCAGTTTGGTCAATCATGGCAATTTCATTCATATCACTGCTTGCTATGTCTGCTATCCTAGCTGCTTGTTTCTTTGTGAGGCACCAAATAAGACGGGACAGGGCTCGACTTCCCCAAGCCCGGGAGTTCCACGGAATGAGCAGTCAATTAGTAAAAGCAATGCCAAGTCTTATTTTCACAAAAGTGCAAGAAGACAACTGTACATCAGCAACATGCGCCATTTGCTTGGAAGACTACAGTGTTGGAGAAAAGCTAAGAGTGCTACCTTGTCGCCACAGTATGTTTCTCTCACATCTATTTAACTGATGTTTGGGAGTTTGTGGTCTATTCATTTTATATGTGAGTTGAATCTGGCTTACTAGCCATTACTCCCTCTGTCCCAAAAAAGAGTCATTGTCACTTCCCAAAAAGTCAGCAACTTTTAACTTTGACCAAATATATTTAACAAAATATTAATATTTATGGTACATAATTAGTATCATTAGGTAGATCGTTGAATATACTTTCATAATAAACTTATTTGGAGATATAAATGTTTCACGTATTTTCTACGAACCTAGTCAAAGTTGAGAAAGTTTGACCAGCACGATTCCCATAGCGACTCTATTTTTGAGACGGAGGGAGTACTGTCCATGCATTGTTTACTACTCTTTACTATTTCCTTTGATCACAAATGTAAGTTCATCTAGGTTTATCCCAAACTTTTTTTTTGTGCTGGCATTACTGTCTATGCTGTGTTTACTATTCTTACTGCTTCTTTTTTTCATCATAAATGACAAATATGACCCATTTAGGTTTGTTCTAAGCCAGGCCTTTTTAGCTTGGAGCTACTAGATTCATCAAGGAAACTACTCCCTCCGTCCCAAAATAAGTGATGTTCTAGGTTTATCCTAAGTCAAACTATTTTAAGTTTGACCAAATTTATAGGAAAGAACATCAATATTTATGGCATTGAATAGGTATAATATGAAATTATATTTCAAGATAAATCTAATAATACTTATTTGATATCATAAGCATTAATACTTTTTTGTATAAATTTGGTCCAAACTTGAAATAGTTGACTTAGGACAAATCTAAAACATCACTTATTTTGGGACGGAGGGAGTACTTTCACAATGTATAACTGTTTCTTTTCAAGTCAAGTTAATAATATATTGCTTGTCCAAAAATGTCATATTGCTTGTCCAAAAGCGTTAAGTTAGTAATATCTGTGATAAGCGGAAGTAGGTATTACAGACACAAATGCAGAATAGCACTACAAGAATGGTAGTAAGAGAATGCCATGGTAGAGGGCGATCACAATACTTCTGTATTTTTTGCCAGCTTGAGATTTCAGCTTGGTTGTATATTATCATACAACATTTCACATGCATTCAACAACTTTATTTTGCTTTCTGATTTAATGATGATGCATATATTGAATTTTAATTGCAACTTTGATTCCACTATGTAACTAGTGGTGCATGCATTTAAAACATCACCTGGTATACTTGTTAACTGCATTCTCATGGATCCCTCTTCTATATAATTGTAAATCTCTCCTTAACTCATGACCTGAGGCTTGTTTCACTTTGCAGAGTTCCATGCAGCTTGTGTGGATCTATGGCTCACCTCCTGGAGAACATTCTGCCCTGTATGCAAGCGGGACGCAAATGCTGGAACATCAAACCCTCCTGTATCAGAGTCTACCCCTTTGCTTTCATCATCATCCATTCCCTTACCAGAATCAACTGCTTTGGCTTCCTTCCGGTCTACAGTAGCAGCATCTCCCCCCAGGCCAATCAGCCGGCATCCTTCATCACGGTCCATATCCATAATTACTCCATTTCGGGTTCCAGTATCCCTCGCACCCCTAACCCTAGGTTTTATGCAAACTCATCTCCTATCTGCACAAGCGGAAGCAATTTGGACCTTGCAAATATGTCATCCTCATGGTCTCGCGACCGCACCTTGCATCTGCTCACTCTTTGTGCGGTGGCCACTTGTCCCCACCGATTGACATCAGGAATACCTCACCACACATCTCCCGTTCAGCCTATGGATCTCCCAGTCGTTACATAGGCTCATCACACATGTCCCATGGATCTCCGAGTTACTACCTTGGATCTTCAGGGCAGCAGAATCCTTACCTGAGGCACTGCATGTTGTCAGGCCCGAGCCTGTTCACCATGGTGCCCCAGTCACCGCAACAGAACCAGTGGCAGCACGGCGGAGACTCGGAAACAAATCTGTCAGCTGCTGCTTCAACTCAGTCATTCCGTCAGCTCTACCAGCAGAATTGTCCTGATTCTGACACGTCATCTCAGTCGCTTCCGGGGTGCTGATTCTTGCTGCAAAATTCACCATTTTAACACTGATGGTGGCTCCAGTAAGCACCCATGAGAAATCTTATCTGGTACTGAATTGACATGTGGATTTGAGCTCATCAACATAACTCACCATGATGATAAAATAAGGTGTGACAAAACTGCTTGTAAGAGAGAATCTGTAACCCCAGAATGTGAGCAATTTTACTTACTGAGTGTACAGGGAGTTTGGAGTAGTTTTGGATTTGCCTACTTTTGAGTCATGTAATGCAGTCGTAGGTTACTTATGCTCAATAGTTGATGTGTTGCTTGATCTTGAAGAAGCAAATGCCCCTGTCTGGTTTCACGAGCGTTTAACTTGTACTGATACAGCTTTGTAGGAATCCTAGATGCTGTTTGTCTATTGAGGTTTGAGCCTGTAACTTTTTTTTTTTTTTGAATTAGTTCATATGGGCATTGAAATCTGAATAGAATAAAGCCTTGTTGGGTTGAGGCACTTGTTCCCTTGTTTAGAGATTGTTTGGCTAGGCTCCTCCTAGCTTCTCCTAGCTTCTAGTTCAAGAGATAAAAACGGCTTCATGAATAGTACCATGAACAATGCATGAGTTGGAGCCGGAACCTCTAGAAGCCTTTCCAAACAGTCCTTAGTACGGTATACACCCCTCTATTTCTAGGTACTACTTGTGTAGAAACTGACTAAAATGTCATGGCGACCATGACCTGAAAGAAATACTCAAAATGAGATTAGTTAAATGAACTGGTGTAATATGCTCGTTTCAGCTTCATTCATTTATGTGGTTGCTTGAGATCATTTTAGCTTTGTACAATTCAGGAACCGAGCATGCATTCATTAACAGAACACGGAATCAGCAATGGATTGTCCAATAGGAATAAGATTAACCCACAAAGTAAAAAAGGTTAAGAAAATATGTTTACATCATACGTCACTGAGCAACTGAGCATGCAGACTCCTCTAACAATGGCCCACGAGTAAAAAAAAAGAAAAGGAAAAAAGGACACGCGGATAAGCACACGTTGACAAAGAACACAAACAGGTATTTTGCACTATCCTGAATCTGCACATGGTTTCCCGCGATAAAGTGATTCCTCAGGTGAACTTGAAAGCTTCTCCATCATCATATTGGTAATGTTACCATACAAAACTTATCCTCTGGTTCTATTGCATACCTCGTAAATGAACACCTATCAATCTTTCTGGGTACATCTGTAATTGAACTGAGAAAATGTCATGACAAAAGTTGGATTAGACAAGCATAACTGCACAAGAAACTATTGTTGATGCACAGGGACCAGAATTCACAAGGTAATTATGCATGATGGTTGAATTCAAAGATGCAAACCCAACTGTATACCTAGAACTTCCTGTTCATTTCCATAATGGTTCTGGATCTGATACTTGGCCAACTGCAATTCATTGGTGACTTTGCCCCCAAGGGTAAAGGTTAGTGCATCACACGCATGTTGATAGTCTTAGGATTTCTGGATCAATGGGTGTACTTCTGCCCATTTATGGTTATTGTTTTTTTTTTTCATTGGAACATATGGGCACCATTGGCTTATCTGGATCCCATCTTTCCTTCACAAAAATACACGGCAGTTTCCACCATGTGTACCTTTCAACAACTTCCACTCTTCCAGTCCCAGCTGCTTTGACTTTGGCCCATTTTGCTCACTAGCAAGTAGCAACACACAAGATCTCTTGCAAGGCAATGGGCAGTCGGCAGCCTTTGAAAGTTCAAGTTGCAGAGACAGGTCAAGCAGCAACTTAAAACCCTGCAGTAGTCCAGTCTCATTGCCAGCCAGCTTCTCCAAGAGCTGAACTAGTAATGAATTACAGTGAGGAACAAAACAAGGACACGTGCAACTGGGGAAAAACCTACATGTATGATCAACAGTAAGTATTTTTATTGTCATGGTAAGATAAACTGTATGGGCTAAAAGGAAATATGTAGCTTCCTCCTGAAACTTAAGCAAGCAAAAACATGCTCAAACATGGGAAAACAGTAGCACAAATGATACAAGCATTCGGAAAGCACCTGGAAACAACTCCCCATACAGCAGCACTTTTGGCACATGATGCATGAAGTCCAACTGTTGTTAAGACATGGACACAAAGCAGGCGGCAACTGTGCACAACGTATGTCTCAATCTGAGTTCAATGTTTCTTCTCTCTTGAATATGCTGAATTCAATGTACAAGTAATCACACTCCCCCAATAGCTAACTGCAATGCAAGATAAGTAATGATTCACATCTTCAACGGAATATTTAGATAGTAAATCAGTGAATGAGGACACAAAGATGAATCATGAAAATAGCTGCACCATATTCCAGTAACTAAGCCAACCAACACTAATTGCAATAATCCGGCAAAGTATTGACAAACAACACGAGCACAAGAAAACACATCCAGGACAACAATGATCAACTGAGACTACAAAACTGAAATAAAGATGGCCTTTTTGTCGAACCGGGAAGAGAGTTGCCAGTCATTATATTATGATGTTGAAATGAGTGATGGTGCTACTAGTATATTTAGATAACAGTATGAAACCAGAAGATGACCAGCATAGCGAAGAAAAACACTAGTACTACAGATAGGATATCAATGGTATAATATATACATATGCTATTGGTCTATCGGTCATTCCCTTCTTGCAAGTTCCCAATTGTTAAAAGGAAAATTGCATGAAGTTGTTCCTATAAGAAAACCGGTCCTAAACTTGGAGTGTATGGCTTACGTAATCTGTTACACAATGCCACATGAGAAAGAATCATCGTCTTCAAATGATTCAGAAAACATAGGAAATTCCTAAGTAACTAATGACAAAAGGTCAAACCTTGGCAGAACGATGCCATTCTGCAGGTTTGCATTCTTCTTCGATTTTTGGGAGCGGCTGCTAGCTTCTCCTTGTCTGACTATGAAATCTGAGCCAACTTCTTCAAAATGCTCATTGTCATTCCCATTAGGGATGCAATAATCATCTGGTAACCCCAACACGTCATATGCGTCATTTCCTGCTCCTGCATAGAGCCAAATACATCTATGTAGCATGTAGGCATAGAATGGCAAACGGATTGCATACAAGGATCCACTTGTGCAGAAGAAATTGGAAACTTGAGAATGGTAAGAAGATTAAAACAAAGACCTGATTTTTCAGTTAATGTGCCATCCTCCAAGCTCTTTATTAACAAGGATGTACCAGGGAACAACATTAAGTTTATGGTATCAAGTTGCTTCCTTTCATATTCTTCAATAGGTTTGAAGCCAAACCCTGATACCCATGTACTCACCAGCTCTGGAATTGCAGAAAGCACCAACATCTTTACATGGAAGGATTTCAGCATCTGCATTAAAAAAACACACATAGAAGACTCAAATGGTTATCAACTTCATAACCACAAACAAGAGCTTGCCTGAATGTTTGTTTCTGCAGGAAGATGAATTTTTGAAACACATCAAGAACAATACAAAAATAAAAGATACACTAGCAAGTTTCCTAAAAAAGAGCTACCCATTTAACTAGTGAGGATTAAATACAATGTTCTCCAAACAAGGTACCTCTTCAATGGTGTTTATCAGTCTTCGGCACATTCCTTTACGACGATGCTCTCTGCAAGTAGCAATGAAGGGCAGCTCAGCTGCTTTCATGCCATGCACTCTGCAAAGGCCATAAAATGAATCTTAAGTAGAGTTTATAAGACACAAGGTTGTGTCAGAAAAGGGCAACAGTCTGAGAAAAGGTTCCTTTGGCAACATGGTTCACATCATGACACCATTTGTGACCACTAGAATCTTAACTACATATAGTTGACAAGCAGTCTCAGAAAATAACTACCTTTGCAATTGCGTTGATAGCAGTTAGTTAATCTAAGAACGTAGGTCTGTTATAACTGTAAAGCTTTATCCCATTTAAAATTTAACAAAGATGTTACTGTTGAAGATCAACTGAACGTGGATAACTTGCTGGCCATGCTAACAGGCTACTGTGCTCAATGTTGGATGACTTGTAAGGGTTTGTTATCTCTGATCAGATCAAGCATATCAGCTGCTATCCCCAGCATGATATACCTATTTCATTTGTAAGCCTGTTACTTATTCACTTAAAATAAAAGCGCAGCACTTCCTATTGTCAAACAAGCACATTCCTATTCATCATAACATTAAGTCAATATGAAAATTCTTGCAAAATTATAATCAACAGGAAAGTTTGAATATGCAAATACATTTAGGGGAGGGATGGAGTTTTTTTTTTGAACGTCAAAAAAATTTTTTGAACGTCAGGGATGGAGTTGTGCCAATCTTCAGGAGATGGTAAAAGAGTCCTGGTAAGTCCATAACAGAAAGAAAATGATCAAAAGATTACCTGATAGACGCTGCACATAAGATCTCTTCACCTTTCTCCAAGATCACAGTGTAGAAGCCCTGATAATTTAAACGTGCATATTTGGATCTGGTTAGAGCAAAGAGTTTTCTGCATCAGTGGAGTCAAACTTTTTGCAAACAATTGGAAGAACTAGAATAAAAATAATTGACAAGAAATTCTATATTGCCAAGAAAACAGTTATGAACTCAGAACTTGATATGATGATATCCGTCATCTTGGCATCGGTTTTCTCCTTATCATATCAATAATTGTTTTAGTAGAAACCGGTGCCAGATAAACATGAAAAGAACACCAAACACTAGGGCAAAAGAAGAAAATAAACAGCATAAATATGCAAGCATATTATTATAACAAAAATCAATAGCAGCAATTCTCATTTATAAGGAGAAACATGGACCTTCTTAATATTACCTTTCTGAGATTTTTATGACTAAAGCGAGAATGTGAAATCTTGTATTCTAAGTTTCTCGTCTCATTCTTCAACTTAAACAATAGTTAACTGGTTTTTCTTTTGCAAGGTGCAAGTACAATCTGAATTCATCAGTATGATGTGCCATCAGGATATGTCATCACACTTCAATATGATCAAACGATTTCATAGTAATCTTATTGGAAAAAGTCTATATAACCCCCTGACGTTTGGCATGGTGTCTACTTCACCCCCTGAACTATAAAACCATGTATTTTGCCCCTTAAACATTTTCAAACCGTCTATATAGCCCCTTTGAGTGGTTTTGGATCCTGGTTTTGCTGACGTGGCTATCCATGTCGGCACACATTGACACCTTGGCGCTCGGCCCAGCTGTCAGACCTCTTGGCCCCTCTGTATTCTTCACTGGCATTCCGTCGAACAGCTCCCATGCGGTTGACAGACACAGCCTTGACTACCCGCCGAGCTTGACGGCGTCCAGATAGAGCAGCCGTGGGCGCCACTCGGGAAAAGCCTCCGCGCGTAGCAGGTCGCGCTCCTTGAGATGGGGGGCGACCATGGCAGCGGCGTCCTAGCCCGACGTCTCATCGAGCACGGCACGAGTGACCGCGGCGCCGTGCTCTGACTTGGGGTCTTAGCCGTAGCCGACGGCGTACTGCAGCGTGGTGTCCACAGCAGGCTGTGAGCGGTGTCCTCTGTATATAGATAAACCACGCTGAGCAAGCTGATCATCATAACAAGGAAGCGAGCGCGTGGCAGAGCTGCGTGCCCAACATGTCCCAGCACGGTGATCTCGGGGGTACGGCTGGGCGATGGCGGGAGGTCCACGGCGTCGAGAGCAGCTGGGCGGGGCTGCTGGACATGCTAGACCTCGACCTTCATGCACCACACTATCCTCCGCTACGGCGAGTTGGCGCAGGCGACCTGCTACGACACCTTCAACTGCGTACCGGGTCACCAGATTCTGTACGCCAGGTGGGGTGGCCATGCTGGACATTTTCATCCTCAGGTCCGTGTCCAGGTCGCGCCGGTGCAGGGAGTGTACAACTGGATCGGCTACACCTCCAGGCGCTGTGATGCCATGGTGCACCGGGGCTGGCTCTACACCTCCACTGACCCCACGTCCAGCCACAAAAAGACAATGCAAGGCATCAGGCGTTGAGCGAGGTGCGGAGGTTGGTGGACACATACAAGGATGAGGAGCTCAGCATCACCGTGATGGGCCACAGCTCGCCACGCTGAACACGTTCAACATCGCTGCCAACGATTACAACGTGGCACCTTGTGTAGCAGCGAGAACCGTCTGCCCGGTGACCGTGTTCGCGTTCACCAGTCCGCGCGTTGGCAGCTCTGGCTTCAAGAAGCAGTTCGACGCCATCCCTGAGCTGCGTCTCCTCCGCGCCTGCAATGCCTACAACGTCGTCGTACGTGCAAGTACCAGATCGTGCATGGAGCTTGCGATCGACACAGGGAAGTCGCGCGCCCTACCTGAGGAGCCCGGGCACGAGCAAACCTGGCACAACCTCGAGGTGTACCTGCGGCTTCGTGGATATGCAGGATGCGTGGGCGGAGGCTTCGAGCTTGCCACGGCGCGGGATGCGGCACTGGTGAACAAGGCATACGACGCACTGCGGAACAGCAACAGGGTGGTGGGGGCCGTTGCTGAACAGGGGAATGGTGGAGGGAGCGGACAGAATGGTGAGTAGACATACGGGCGTTGGAGCTTGATGGATTGCGACGAGGAAAAGAATGGCAAGTAGATAGCAGACAGAATAAACTCTTGGCATGCGGGCAGCAGATAGGGATAGCCACGTCAGCAAAACCAGAGTCTAAAACCATCTCAAGGGGTATATAGACAGTTTGAAAATGTTCAAGGGGCAAAATACATGGTTTTATAGCTCAGGGGGTGAAGTAGACACCATGCCAAACGTCATGGGGTTATATAGACTTCTTCCTAATATTATTATTGGTTTCAGGACCGAGACGAACTTTAATTTCCCTAACGCTCAACTTACACAATGGCAGCACTTCGGATTACATGTTTATGTTGATCATTCCTTCCTTAATGGTTTTGTTAATAACTATACCACATTGCTAATCAGACTGTTGCACTGAATTTTGATGTGCAATTTACGTTCAAAAAAAATTTGATGTGCAATTAACACAAATGGAACTCAGAATATAGCAAAAACGATCACCTTTTGAGCAAATAAATAGCCAAAACAAAAACAGGAAACTTACCCTGATTGTACATGACATGTGGTATCATGTCTATGCCAGTTCTAGTATCCACCATTTTAGCAAAACATTCCTCCATAAGAGCTAGAGCCACTGCTAATTTTGAATTGCATTCTATCACATGGGCAATCTTCTGTATAGAATGCAGCTTCTGCCCACCACTGTTGCACCTCAATATGGTCCATGAAAGCCCATCGCCAAGGGAACTCTCCACTCCAACACAACCATGCAGTCCTAAATATATCTGTTACAAAAAAAGGGGGCAGATAAAGCCTGAAGCAAGGAAATGAAGAAAAGGAACAGGACTTTCGACACAAAAGCAGTATTAATAAAGCAACTTGTTAGGAAACAAATAAAGCAACTTGTTAAGTACACATATGTCCATTAAAAAAACATATGAGGTTGTGCACTTTACACAGATCTTTCAAGTGGTAACCACCTCAAATTGAAATGGCAGTCACATTCAAGCTTTGGAAGAATGGCAAAAGATTAGCACAAGAGGTAGACTCAAAACAGGCCATGTAATTCTGACATGGATGACAGTTTTAGTTGCAAATAGTTGTGATAGACTTCCAAGTCTACAACACTGAGTGATTCTGAAGTTGGTTTGTTACAGATAATATCATATTTTACATGTAAAGACTCAAGTACGATCCACCAGGATCAATGTTCTTGTGAAGTAAACGCACACCTCTTTACAGGATGTTCCACAAAACCACTCGTCAGAATCCATTTCCTCAAAGGCTGTTGCCCCCGTCTCAACACAAGTGTCATGGTCTGCCAGTAAACGTTATAGAAGCAAGAATACATCAAACTGACAACAATAGTACTGCAGGATAATTTCCTTTTCCCTACTATACCACAGTAATTACATCTATGGTGAGACAACACACAGTCATTACTTTTATGTGGTACCAAATCTGATGATAAAATGATAAACCAAAATAAGTATCAAGAGGAGCCCCAAGGCATTCTTGTAGATGATATTAAATGCCAATTTTTAACAGGAAAAACATCTGGAAACGAATCAAAGTATCTAAAACTGAAGATAACAAATTGCAGTGCTTACGTGCAGCTCCACACTGTAAGCACTTTAAGATAGCTGAGAAGCTTGAGATCTCCTTTTCACTGATTGGACAACCGCAAATACGACATATACAGTTATGGCAGTACCAACTATCATCTGGGAGCTCCTACATTAGAAAGAAGGATAATAGTAAAGCTTAGCTAAATCATTTGTAAGAATGCAACATGTTCATACAGCATAGCTACATCATCCGAAATGAGGAGATATGCTCCATTACTATTAGTATACATGATTTGTTCCCTTAAAAGTTAAAATGTCCCATAGAAGATTCAGCTAGAGGGAAGTTGCATTCTATTGGTTGATAAATTCTTTAAGAAAATCATCTCACATGAGAAATTAAAATACCTTGACTGACAGGCAAGATTGATGGTATGTTGATGGGCAGTTATCACAGCAAAGTAGCTCACCACCATCTCCACAGAAACCACAAGTATCATCATTTTCATCGGCCGCTTCCACTTTTCTACTGCATGCATTACTCCGCCTGTCCATATATTCGGCATTCCAAGCCTCGATTTGACAAAGGGTGAGTGACTTGCCAAACTGAAGACATAGATTCAAGGAGGATCTAGGAAGACTGATCATAGCATGAGCCTTGAAGTCTGAAATTGACAACGTCTTGATGCAACAACTACACAGAATGCCATCCCAGGTAACCCACCCATCCTTAAGTACTTCATTATTCTCTGGATTTCGGCACTGCACAACATCTTTTAGAGTCATAAAACCAGTAGCAATCAACCAGCATAACACAGTCTTTCGTGCTAAAACTATTTGCCTTCCATCCAGGACGTCTGTACCCCCTTTTCGTATAAGCAGTCTGCTGTCTTTCTTTGAGCTTTTTAGCTTCCTAAATTTAGCATTTGAAGATACGAGCCTTAGTTCATTTTTGGCAGGAGCTGATGTCCCTTTTCTTTACAATAGCTGTGATCAAAAGGTCATCATCATTAAAATGCATCTCAAAAGGCCTTTTCTTTGCCTGCTTTTCAAAAATTTCAGACTTGCTCGCAATGGTGGGTTCCTTATGGCTTTGTGCTTCCAGAGAAGTACTACATTCCACCACAGTAGCATTATGTTTCTGACATGATTTGACAACTACATTGCTGACATCAGAAACAGTAACCACATCTTCAGACAAGCACCTGGCTGGTGATTTCTTCGGCAATCTAGATTGCTGCTTCTTGGCAGAGGCATCTGCATCTGATTCGGCCACAGTAGATTTAGCTACAGAACATCCATTCGACTCCGAAGGCATTGACTCGTTCCTTGATTTTAAATGTTTCTTGAGCGTGCCACTGCCAACTGAACAGCATCCAGATTCACTCAAAGGTACAGAGGGCTGCATAAAGCTCTGGGCATATAGGCCATTCAATCCAGTTGACTCAAAGTCGGATAGCCATCTGGGCTTCTTCCGCACCCTTTTAACCAAACTGTTGTCGAGGTTTGCCCCAGAATCAGAATGTGCTGGTCCAGCATTTGACTGAATGTGGTTTTCTGCTTGGCCAGAGACCCCAGTGTCTTTTGTCACCATATCTTGATGCCCGTCGCAGACGTCAGTTGCTACACGGCTATAGCCAGAACATGGGCTTGTGGTAGTAGTAGGCTTATCTGTTGAGGGTCTATTGTCACCATAATAATCAACAAAACAGGTTGAACTGTCAACAGCTCTAATCTTTTTCTGCTTTTGCAAGGCAGTGATCCTCTTATCAATGAACACCACAGCCACAAAGGGATCCAGAAGCTGCCACCGGCGCAGAAGTGTGGCTGAGCCATCCACGGCCATATTCCGGACACTGTCCATAGCATCCACAAGATCCTTCCAGAACTGATCGATGTCCGACCACTCCGCAGGAAACTGATGCCCCGATTCCAACCCCTCGGAGGCACTGCGCAGCCTCTGGCCGCAGAGTCTCCAGGCCTGCGACAGCGAGGCCAGCACCGCCTCCCCCTGCGGCGCGGTGAAGTAATACGCCGCCTTGGGGCGGTCGTTCCTTATCCGTGGCTTGATGCGCCAGCCGGCGTCCATGAGCAACCGCCGAGCGTGCGCTTCCAACTGATCGGGGAGGTCCCTGTTCGAACTCCTCTTGGCAGAAGCGGCGGCCTTGCTGGAACGTGCCGCTCTGCGCTTGGGATCGCGCCTTTTTCTGTAATAGTAACAACCTCCTGCTCCTCCAAGTTGCTGTCTTGCCGTTGACTTTGGTACAAGAGTCGCCTCGCTGCGAAAGGAGGCTTCTTGTGCTGCTACGCCGTGCTCTGGGCTGCCCGGCATGCCACTGCGGCACCCACGGACCATGGCCGCCGGCGCCGGCGCTGGCGAACAATTGCCGTGGTCGGGCAAACCCAGGACGTCCACCGCCGCCGCCTCAAGTCTGCTGGTGGCGTCCTGCTCCTTGAGCGCCTCTGCCTCTGCCTCCCTCCACCCCACCTTTCGCCGCCATTTGACGCGATCGCCACCTTGGGGTCGGGGATCAGAGTAAATTGGCCGCGAGAGGATGAGCGGCGGCGGGGAAATGCGAGGTCCGGTGAAGGCGAATCTGCAGCACCGGAATCAGACCGAATGAAATCAAGGCAGAGATGGAGAGAATTGGGGATGGGAGTGGACGAACCGAGGGCAGTGGCGGAGCACGGGGGTAGGGACTAGGGAGGGTGGTGGCCCTGCCGTGGAGTGGGGAGATGGATGGGGATGGGAATGCGGTCGTTGGGGACCGGACATGGATGAGGATTGAGGAGTGTGCCAGCCATCCCTCTGCTTCTGCCGCCAAACTCCGGGGTCCGGGCAGCTAGCTGGCTGCCATGTGGTTTCCCGTCACTTCTCTTTTGTTTATTGCTAAAGGCTTCTCCACTCACTTCGGCACCTTTTTTAACAGAAATTTATTTATTCAATGACATCGATCAAGTAATATAATATTTATTAAAAAAACCATAAATCTCGCCAATCTAACCGTTGGAAACATTAAAAAAAATTTAGAAAACAGGAGAGGCTCAGAGCCTCTACTAAAAAATTATTAAAAAGTAACCAAGCAGGTTACAAAGGTGTACAAAGTTCAGAGCAAAATAAAAGGAAAGACTACGAAAACTCATGATACAAAGGAGAAAAGGAAAATCAAAGCTCATACACTAATTGATCTAGCCATGATACAATCTTGGGGAAGTATTTCTTCTCGGCCCTCCAAAGGTGCAAACCAAAGTTATGTTTGAAAATTTCAAAGCCACGCATACTGCTTGCAGGAATCCCTCTGAAGATGACATCGTTTCTGAGAGTCTAAATGCTCCAACTCGTGACAATGATTACTTCCATGAAGAAAGGAACCCCAAGCTGCCCCTTGATGCTCTCAAAAATCTGCTAGGGACTGAGGGAACTGTCCACTGCTGTTCCAAGCTTATCTCAACAGGCCATGGCCATTTCACATTCCAGGAAAAGGTGCTCAACTGTTTCCTCTGTATTTTGATTGCATAGCACACAATTGTAGGAGGGAAGATGCATGTTTTTCCTTCTTAAGATATTTCTAGTGCTAAGTCTATCTCAGGAGAACAGCCAGAAGAAAACCTTATGTTTATGTTGGGAAGAAGACTTCCACAACCATTTAAAGATTGGATGAGACAGACTGGAACCTTTGAGATGGACATAGGCCCTTTTGGATGAGAAGTTTGAATTGCCCCAGATGTACATCCAGACATCATTATCATCTGATAAATGCATTCCTTGAAGAAGATTCTGTAGTTGCTGAAACTGCTCGAAGGCCTCAATAGACAAAGGAAGGTTGAACAGATTGGAAACTGAGTTGACAGTAACAGCAGCTTGGATGGAGATATTGGGGTTCTTGGAGAAAGAAAAAAAGCTCTAGACAAGTTAATTTGAGGGGTTGGCCCTGCCAACAGTCATTCCAAAGCAAGCATGAAGCACCATCTTCCACTGAAACAGGGGCCATACCTTTAAATTTGTCCAAGAGCTTTAGTATGTCCTTCCACCAAAAGGAGCCTTTCCTGACATGGCTGGGAAGTTTATCATTTCTATAGTGTTTTTTCCACACAAGATGCATCCAAGGAATAACTGCTCTATTAAAAAACTTATGGAAATTTTTTAACAGGAGGGCCTCATTGTGTGTTTGCAGATCCAACCCCCCCAACCCCCCTCTTCTTTAGATTTGGTGACTAGAGTCCAAGCTGCTTTGGCATTGATCCTATTGTTATCATCTGCTCCTCTCCACAAACAGTGCTTTCTGAATTTGTCCACTTGCTCCCTTACAGTGACATGAAGAAGAAAGGTGCTCATGAAGAAAGTTGGGAGAGAGGAAAACACTAAGTTGGTGATCTGGAGTTTCCCTGCCTGAGATAAAAAGAGAGACGTACTAACCAACCTTCTCTCACATCTGGAAATTAGAGGCAAAAAATCATCAATCCTTGACTTAGTGAGTCCTCGCATTGCATAGGCGGGGGTAAGGCTTGCCACTGACACCCTTCCCCAGACCCCGCACAGAGCGGGAGCTCTCTGCACTGGGTACGCCCTTTTTCTAATTTTTTTCTCACCTCAGTATGAAAGTCATAGCCATAATCTGTACCATTGTAGCCATATGCACTAGTATCATCCCCAAGTCGACTAGTTGTAATGAACATGGAGCTCTGCATTCAATATTCCAACATTTTGCATTGCAACAATGAATTATCATAAGAAGATATAGTAATACTCTTAGAAAAAATGAATAATTCTGTACCTCATTATAGGTATCACTCTGCATTAACAGCTTTGTGTGGCTGAATGGATCGATCTACACAAAAGCGCAACAACGGATTGGTTATTAATTTTGGTTTTTAGATTGTAATCAATTATGATTGACTAAAAACCATTTGAGTGCTCCATACTCACATCATTTCCAGTGCTTACTTGTGCATGCCCTTTTCTCCCTGGAGTAACTTTACTGTTGTTTTCTCCGTCATTGTTTAATTTGCCTTCATCATTTTTCAGACTCCTATGCACATAATCTAATATTGCTTGAGATCTTGGTGTTAGTTATAATTGATTGTTGATTTTTTTCTGTCTTGCTCTTTTCACCCCCTGCACATAGTTGCCGTTCCTGCAGAGTGAAAATGATGGAATAATTCACATGTGTGTCAATTTAAATGTTGGCAAGGAAATATCAATGTAAACTATCTCATGTATATACCTTTGTTTCTAGGGATCTTGCGCTTACTGCATTGACAATCTTTACATTTGTGTTTATTTTTTATTTTTGGGCTGTCAACCTGCAAGGAAAAGGCAAATTTCAGTATAAGTTGTAGTTCAGGTCCAGTATTTCAGTTCAAGTTTATTAATGTTGACTCATAGATATTAACTCTTTTGGTTCAGTTTTGTAGAATGTATGTTCAAGTTTTGGTTAAGATCAGTATTACTTTAGAGTAGAATTTACTTTTGAGTATAGTCTGTCAGCTTTTTCTTCACTGGCTTTGTGTAGCTAATGCAGACTCTGATCGAATAGATAAGCACTATCACTCACATTAACACATATCAGGAATGCAGACTCTGATGGACAATTGTTTCCTGGAGAGTTCAACAAATCCACTTGAAGTTTTTGACTTCCTGATAAGTGATAGCAACCAGTCGGATAGAACATATCAAGATAACTGAAAGTTCAGGACTCATATTGTGCAACCTAATGATTTAGTTTTGTTTGCATACAAGTATAAAGATCTGGATTTTTTTTTGTTTAGTTTTGACACTATATGGCCTTCCAAAAGGTCCCAGAACTATTTTTTCATTAATTTGCAAACAGAGGAGCACTACAATTTTGCAAAGGTTTATCTGGATGAAAAACTATGGCTTGTCGAACTGCAGTTTTTTGGTTTTCCCTCTGTCCATAACTGAATTATTCTACTGGAGTTCTGAAACCTGACTATACCAACAATAGCTTAGAAAGTTCTGAGATATGTATCGGCACGAGGAAGACACTATCTTCCGGGCTTTGATTGAGAAAGGGAGAATGTGAGAAGCATGAGAGATCCGATTGCCTGCATCTCATTTCACAAATTCTCATTTAAGTTTTGGTTCAGTTTTGTAGATTCTAGGTTCAGTAATATTTTTACATACGCAAGCTGTATTGGCTTGCTGCTACTTTTCTGGAAGATAGTCGGGCTGCAATTTCCTTTTCTAAAGTTTCCTATTCTGCTTCCCTCTCCTTTTTTAGTTTTGCAGCTTGTTTCATGTCTCCATCTGTTATGCTGGTACCCCAGATAGCAGTAGCAGCAAGCTAGTGTTTTATTTCTAGTTGCTCAATCAAGGAATCAAGGTCCTTTACTTAATTGTCTGTTTGTTTGGACAGAAAGAATAGCCGTTATAGTGAGAAAGATGCTGCAGTGGTAGCCCGCCAAATGCTCAAAGTAGCTGCTAAGTGTCATTTGCGTGGGTTAGTTCACCGAGATATGAAGCCTGAGGTAGAAATCAAATACTTTCAATCTCTTTGCACACAGTAAGCATTTGGTGATATTTCACTACTTCCTCAGGCCATGTAAGACTGTACCTATTTTCCTTCCCAGAACTTTCTTTTCAAATCAAATAAGGAGGACTCACCACTAAAGGCAACAGATTTTGGTTTGTCAGATTTCATTAAGCCAGGTAGCTACTTGGGGTCATCTGAATCTGTTTGGAACCTGATAGGGCAAGTCTGCAGTTTAGCTTTTTTTTAGATAAATGATAGTTTATATCCGGCTTCATCTACCATGAGGTAGAATCAGGCCAATTATTACAAGGTTCGACCCAACGGTGAGCACACAACTTACACAGTTCACAAGCTTACAGCTAGACTTTGGAAACACAAAGCGTGAAGTAAAGTCTTGACTAAGAAAGACCGATAAATCTATTTGAGAACCACCCATTGGAACTAAAAAAATGCAAGGCTGATGTCTCCAAAAGCCGCCCAGCAGATGTCAGTTGGTCCCGTAGATCATCACGCCGCTGCAGTCTTGCCCATTATCGCAGCCAATGGGTTCCTCTGAAGAGTACCTGCAAAAAAAAATTTGGTCTACATTTGTCAAAAACCACTTCATTTCTTGTTATCCAAATTGTCCACGTAAAGCCGATGCTGCTGTTAGTAACAATGAATTGTGAATAGTACCACCAACTTTAGACCAATTAACAAATAAATTATCTATGCTGAGGGGAGGTGATATCCCAAACACTAAGTGTACAGTGCGCCACAGGAATTTGGCATAAAAGCATTCGAAAAAAAGGTGATGAATAGATTCTGGAGAGTGACAAAAGCTACACCTTGTGTCACCATTCCAGTTACGCCGGGCGAGGTTATCTTTGGTAAGGACCACACCTCTTTTTAGGTACCACAAAAATATTTTTATTCTTGTAGGTATTTTAATCTGCCATAAATCTTGTGACACTTTGACCCCATTGTTGATTAACGCAGCATACATAGATTTTACAGAATATCTGCCTGATGAATGTAGTCCCCAAACAAAAGCATCTCTTTCCCCCTGTAAGTTCACATCTTGTAACGAGGCAACAATTCTATGCCAGTCCCTTAGGTTCGTACCCACTAGGTTGCGGCGGAAGGAAATGTTTAGTGGAACTGAAGCAATTACTGTTGCCATCGAATCTTGTTTTCTTCTCACTATATTGAACAATGGCTGATTTCCCAACCAAGTGTCCATCCAAAAACGAGTCTGTGACCCATCTTTCACTTTGAATGAACCAAAGCTCATGAAGGAATCTTTAACATTCATCAGACCTTTCCAGAAATGAGAATCCGTTGGCTTTTTAGTGCATCCCCCTAGAGTCTTGTCTTTTATATATTTATTCCTCAACAATTCTTGCCACATGCCATCTTCATTCAAAAGTTTAAAAAGCCACTTACTCAGCAAGCATTTGTTTTGTAGGTCTAGATTGTGTATACCTAAGCCTCCTTGGCCTTTTGGTTGGCACAAGATCTCCCATTTGGCCAATCTATATTTGCGTTTGTGTTGATCATTTTGCCAGTAGAATCTTGATCTAAAGCAGTCAATCTTTTCTAATACACCTTTAGGTAATTCAAAGAATGACATCATAAACACCGGTAAGCTAGAGAGCACCGAGTTTATTAAGACCAAGCGACCTCCTACCGAGAGCAATTTACCTTTCCATCCACTAAGTTTCTTCTCAATTCTATTTTCAATTGTCTGCCAATCTTTATTACTCAACTTCCTAGTGTGCATCGGTAAACCAAGGTAGCGGAAAGGGAATTTACGCACCCCACATCCAAACAGTTGCGAATAAAACACCTCATTATCCCTTGCTTTACCAAAACAGAAGATCTCACTTTTGTGAAAGTTTATTTTAAGCCCTGAAAGTTGCTCAAAAGTATTTAAAATTAACTTCATGTTTCTTGCTTTTTCAAAATCATGGCTCATAAATGACACTGTGTCATCCGCATATTGGAGAATGGACAAGCCATCTTGGACAAGGTGGGGGATGACCCCTTCTACTTGACCTGCTTCCTTGGCTCTAGCAATCAGTATGGCCAGCATGTCTACCACTATATTAAATAGTATTGGAGACATTGGGTCACCTTGCCTTAAGCCTTTTTTCGTTTGGAAGTAGGAGCCAAGTTGATCATTCACCCTAATATTTACATTACCTCCTTGTGTGAACTGCTTCACCCAAGAGCACCATTTTTGTGAGAAACCTTTCATCCTTAAAGTTTGATGTAGAAAACTCCATTTTACTTTATCATATGCCTTCTCAAAATCTATCTTAAAGATTATCCCATCTTGTTTTTTCAAGTGAAGTTCATGTATTGTCTCATGGAGTATTACTGCGCCTTCCATAATGTTTCTGCCTGGGAGGAACGCTGTTTGTGTTGGTCTAATGATCTTCTGGGCAACAGTAGATAATCTATTAGTTGCAACTTTGGTATAGATTTTGAAAGAGACATTCAACAAACATATTGGTCTGTATTGTTGAATCACTTTCGCATCTTTCTTTTTGGTAGCAAAATTATCGTTCCAAAGTTGAGTCTATTCAAAGGCAAGGTTCCCTCATGGAATTCCATGAACATAGCCATCAGGTCATTTTTTATTAAGTCCCAAAAAACCTGATAAAACTCTGGTGGAAAACCATCCGGGCCTGGTGCCTTATTATGTTCCATTTAGAAAACTGTTGCCCTTACTTCTGATTCCAAGAAGGCATCTGTCAAGTACTCATTTTCTAGTTGGGAGACTTGTCGAATGTCATGAACATAGTGTTCATATAACTCAATAAAAGAATTCTCCGGAGGACCAAAAAGGCTCTTATAATAGCCGGTAATATGCTGCTTTAACCGAGCATCACCATCTATTACAGTGTTACCGTCCTCCAACTGGAAAATACGAGTTTTTCGATGTCTTCCGTTAGCCAATAAATGGTAATATTTTGTATTAGCATCACCCTCCGGTAGATGCTTAACCTTTGCCCTTTGGTACCATTTAAGTTCCTCTTCGCGAAGTAATTCAGCAAGTCTTTCGCTTAACACATGTTTTAAATTTAATTCCGAATCATCGAGCAAAGAGTTTTCTGCCTTTTTATCTAGCTCATCGAGTTTGTTTAACAAAGTTTCCTTTTCTTTCTTGTAGGCGCCACTCACATTTTTTGTCCATCCTCTAAGGTACTGGCGAAGCCTTCTGATCTTCGCTTGTCACCTCTCTAGGGGGCTGCCCTCGACAGGTACACTATGCCAAACATCTCTCACCATGTCGCAAAATCCATCCCTGAGCAACCATCCCAGTTCAAACTTGAACTATGGCTGGTAAGCTAGAGATGGACTATTTGTGCTACATAACAGTGGAGTGTGGTCAGTAATCTCTCTGCTCAAAGCTTGGACACTTGTAACTGGATACTTGGACTCAAAATCCGTACAAACAAGAATCCTATCTAAGTTCTGGAAGGTCTGATTTTGTAAGTGATTAGCCCAAGTAAACTTTCTTCCTGCCATTTCTAATTCTCTGAGGTTTAACGTATCTATTACAGCATTGAAAAGAAAAGGCCATCTATCATTATAATTGTCATTATTTTTCTCATCCGGTCTACGAATAATGTTAAAATCACCACCTTTAATAACAGGTAATGTTTCTTTTGAACATACTCGGACTAATTCGGATAAGAATTGTGATTTGAAATCCACTTGAGCTAGGCCATACACTGAGATTAAATTGAACTTGAAATCATCCTCTTTGTGTCTCAACATAAACCGAATAAAAAAGTCTCCTTCTTCTATTTGTCCAATGTCAAAGGTTAAATCATGCCACCGGACCAACCCCTTGGAGCCATGCCGTGCCAAAGAAAATCTCTGCCAGCGCAGATATTATTCAAGGTGGACTGCAGAAAATTGGCTCTCCCGGTTTCTGATACAGCTATTAAGTCTAGGTTCTTTTCTTTTGTTAAATCAGAAAGGAATCTATATTTTTTTGTCCACAAAACCGTTGCTATTCCAGAAAATTCCTTTCATCTCGAGTGGTTTTTTAATTTTTTCTTTTTGTTTTTGGACCTAGACTTCTTGAGATATCAATAGGGGTCTGTAGACATACAGGGTCACAGCCCCCATCACATAGGTCTTCGGAGATTTCAGCACAAATGAGGTTTAAAGCATCTAAATCTAGGTTCTCATCTAGCGAACAAACAGAAGAAGCATCACCTAACAAAGAATTAGTCTCTACATGTAAACATTTACTCTCAGACATTCTATGAGATTCTATGTCTCTAAGAAGTTGCATAGAAAGAGCAGCTTCCTATTCATTAGCCCCAAGTGATATGCCTAGTGTGCTAGTAGAAGCTAGTAAGGATGAATCATCAAAAGAAAGTGGTAGTTCTTTACCTTTGATAGAAGAAGAATCCATGTTCCTACGCGCCTTTAACTTCGTTGCCTTTTCCAACGAGTCTTGCTCCGAAGTAGACGTGTTCCTTTTACTAGCTCTCACTGGCGACACTACCCCACCACTCAGTGCTTTAGTCTTATTCAGAAGACCAGAGTCAATCTTGGATTGCATCAAACTAGCTTTCCACTGTGCAGATCCACCTGGAGTCATCCCAGTCTGCGTGAGTAACACCACCGGCTTAACTACATCACTCTTCCTAGCAGAGTCAGAACCTATGTCTTCCAGATCAACATGATGAAATGGTTCCTCTGCAGCACCTATAGAAACCTACTGGATCCCAGCGTCCTCTGCAAGGACATGCTGAGTCCCCATTGCCAAGTCCACGTGCTGCTCAAGAGGTATAACTGTGGTAGCCTTACTCATGTGTTGTCCACTCGGTGCAACTATGTTATTAGGCTTCTTTTTAGATGTTTGACCAGCTGGCGGGTCTTCCATCTTTCTACCATCATGATCCATATTCTCCGGCTCTTTCTCCTCTGGGGCTTTATCCTCGTCCATGGTAGAGTCCATGTCAATGACTTGGGGCTCACCATCGGGCATATCTTTCTCCATTCTGAATTGTAGCTCATAGACATAATCCCCAATGACTACATCCACTAGGTCTGGGATGAGGTCGGGATTCAGCACGGCTACTTTCATTCTAGCTCTGCCATACTTCTTTGTAAACTTAGTATCAACTACTTGAGAGACACCTAGGATTGAGCCAATTGCCCAAATAATAGGGAAGTCTCGCAGTTCCGTTGGGAGTCCCCGAAACTACACCCAAACCTTGTCAATCTCATATTTAAAAACATCATTTTCTGTCCCTTTCTCAAACCGAATCTTTCCTTTCACTGTTTTGGTGTCCATTGGACCTCAATTCACCATGTGATTGAGCACTTCAGAAGAAGGGAAATTAGTGATAAAGGTGTCGTTGCCTTTCTCTTCAATCACCCAACTGTTTTCGGGTAGTAGTTTGTCGAGTTCCACTGCTAGTTGATCTGTAGTAAGAGAACCCTCCAGAACACGTACCACAGCTGATTTGTCCTCTAAAACTATTTTTGGATTTTCTACAACAGGTATAAAATAGAATCCTAAACCTTCAACAGCATATCCACATGGTATAGCAGTAGAAAGAATATTCTTCAAATTTGGGCAAACTTTTTTAACATGATCCCCAAAGCAGATCTCACAGATAAGTACTGCTGTACAAACTAAAATTGTATGCCCTTTAGTATGACAATGATAGCAATATGGTTTACCCTTGCTTTTTTTATTCCCCTTCTGGGATGACTCTGGCACATCGCTCTGGATCACTGCATTGTTGGAGCTTGGTGGGGCAGTGGCCGGCTTGAGTATTTCGATTGATGCCGTTTCCGTTGTGGACAAAGGTTGAGGTGCTGCCCCCATGGTTGGATTGGAGACAGCACCCAGCGCCACCTGTGAATTGGCTCCAGGGCCTTGCACTGTAGCCACGCCCTGCCCACGCACAGGTGCATGGCTTAGAGTGGGCTATCCCGCCGATGCCTCCAACACCCCTCGTCCTGCACCACCGCCAGTGCCCAGGTGAATGCCACCACTGCCAGCAGCTACGTGTGCGTTACTGCCAGCAGCTACGTGTGCGTTACTGCCAGCGGCAGCGTGCGTGCCACCGGCGCCAGCCGCCTGTGTCTCCGCCCCGAACGTACCGCCTGCCTGGAAGGGAGGTGGATGTCTCGACGCCAAGGATGGCTAGTAGTATGGCCGGCCCTGGTTATGTTTCACATGGCCACGCCCTCCTCCGTATGCCCCACCATAGGGACGTCCACCTCGCCCGCCGCCGTTGTATACGCTGTTGAATCCATTGTATCCCGAACCGCCATAGCCTCCATGACCACAACCGCGACCACGAGGAGGAGCAAAGGTTTGACCCCTACCCCGTCCCCCGCGTCCTGGATAGAATCCCGGTTGGAATCCAGGATCGTAGCTCGCCGCCCTACCCCCTCCTCCACGACCAAAATTCCCGCCCGAGCCCTGAGCCGCCATGGTCGCCCCAACCCGCACCACGTCCGCGTAAGATTGTGATGGCGCGATAGAAGACGACGTAGCGGCGCTAGAAGGCTTGTACGGTGGCTTGGAAAGGGTTTTTGAGATTTCCCTGGTTCCTGTCTTTCTGAAAAGAGCACAGAGTCCTTTGGTGGGCCAGAAAATTTTGCTAGGCCCGATACACTTTAGAGAACCTCGATCCATACTCTCCCTGTCGACACTCGCGCCGCACGCGGTTAGGTCGACCGGAAGCTTCGCAGGTGACAATGGAGGAAGATCTAGATCGATGCACTGAAGTTTTAGAATTTCAAAATTTTTTGAACTCTAGACATCTCTTGCCGGAGTTGACTGCACCGGCGATGGCGAGGAATTGGCACCGCCTCCGACGTGCCGTTCCGCCGGCAATCCTATCTGACGTGATTTTGAACTCCTCTGGTATGACGCCGTGGCCATGGCGTCACCGAGGGTTCGGGGTGGAGAGATTCTGGGAGGAGGCAGCCGACCCTGCCATGGCCTCTCGGCCAACTTCCTCTGAACCATCGTTGACACAATGGAATACGCAAGCCGGACATCACCTGAATGCATACCTGAGTCCAGAGCTTTCTCAGCTCTGGAGAGTTGATCGATGGTGAAGCCTGCTTCGAGCGCTTCCCTGACGAAGACCGGCGTGGATGGTTCGCTACTGCTGTTCCCGTCGCCATGAATTAGATCGACCGCTTTAGGTGTCGAGTGATCATCGTGGTTGCCTTCCTCAACCTCTGAACCTTCTGAACTTTGCGCCCAAAACTTGAAAGGCAGCGACTGGGGACTTGGCCTCCGGCACGCTGCCGCCACCGGCGCCACGGATCTCGACAACTCCGCACGACCCTCCGCACACCTCCTTTCGTCGTCTTCCTCACTGTCTTCCTCCTCCGCGGCCGTCGAAGACGCTTGTACTCCTCGCCGGAACGAAGGCGCAAAGGTCAACTGTCGCCGCATGGGTTGTCAGCCGCGCACCGGAGGGCCGCCCGCCGGAGGAGGCTTCTCCTGGGCAGATGAGGCCGAGGAGGCACAAGCGTCCGTCTGCAGTTTAGCTGACCATTTTGTTTTCTAATGCATGCTTTTAGGGAAGAAGTTCCATGACATTGTTGGAGGTGCCTTACTATGTCGCACCAGAAGTACTAAAACGACGGTAGTCAGATATTTGGAGCATAGGAGTTATAACATACATTTTGCTCAGTGGGAGGCGGCCTTTTGGGGATAAGACTGAAGACGGTATATTCAAGGAGGTAAGTGAATGGTTTTTGCATACCATGTGCTTACATGTAAAATATGCTTTGGTTAGAGTGTCGTACCAGGGACCAGCGCTTTCAGTGTGCTGATACTGTTTTCTACAATTTGTTTCTACAGCATATAGCAGTGTGTTACCTTGTTAACTATTTCTGTGCCAAACTATTTGTCAGTGTCAGCATTCAGACTATTTTGAACACTATAAACCTATTTGAATCATTTGGAAGTCGGTATGGATTTGCAAGGCATAGAGTCTACATATTCAGACGTGCCTGAACCGTGACTTGGGGCTTTTGGTGGGTTTCAACTCTAACCTAACCCAACTTGCTTGGGACTAAAAGGTTATGTTGTTGTTGTTGTTGTTGTTGTTGTTGTTGTTGTTGTTGTTGTTGTTATTAGTGGATAACCCAAGGGCAAGGCTAACAGCTGCACAAGCTCTATGAGGTTTCGAGTGCATCTGAAATGCCACTTCTAGAATGCGGCTGCTAGAATGCATCTGAAATGCCAATTCTGATATGGCTAGCTGTTTGAGGTTTCGAGTGCATCTGAAATGCCACTGCTAGAATGGTCATCAGGTTTGCTTTGCAAATCTAGGAGCTCTTAATTCTTTTTGCTAACTCCTCAATGCTTAATTTATGATTGCTGGGAAATGCTTCTTTTAATTATCAGTAGTGCTATGGTAACTGTAACTGCTAGTATGTCCTCCCTTTTGCCTACACTAAATCTAGTTGTGCTAGCAAGTATTCATTTGTGATTCTTTATTCTAATTTTTGAGAAAATGCAAGCACGAGAAACTTTGGGGGTGGATCTTCAGAAGAGATCAGGCTGACAACAGCCTAGGAAGCTGTGAATCTTGAATCTGATTTTTTTTTCTTCAAGTTTGTATGCAGATTTTTTAGTCCAAAGAAGTGGGGAAGCAGAAAGTGATGATCTAGAGTTAAGTATTACCTGATTTTGTTGGGTATTATCATCTTGATCTGCATCTTCATCAATATGTATTCTTTGAGCTGGTTTTGCCTTCCTTTTTGTTCGCATGCTGGTCTCCTTGTGTTTTTTTAACACAATGGCAGAAGCTCTGCCTTTCAATTAAGATAGGGAAAGATTAGTTTATATACTAGCAAGGATACTCCAGATAATGGTTTCAAGCCCTCCGAAGCATGTAAAGGAGGGAAACACACACCCCAATGGGGGAACAACAGCTAAACATAAGCGAGTGCTCTCTTCCTTTGCTCTATGTCTTCCTTTATCCTTGCGGCTACTTGCGGCACTGTTTCTATCTTGTTGTTGAAAATTCTCCTATTTCTCTCTTTTCAAATATTCCAAAAGGTATAGATTACTACCCCGTTAAGTCGTCTACGTTCAGATTTTGGCACTTTCCTTGCCGCCTCTTCCCACCATGCCCTGATATGGATGGGGTCTGCCTGGGGTTGCTGTTGCAGGTGAGTGAAGTTTTTTCAAGAGCGGATTTGATCCCAAACCGCCTTGTGTTCTGATCAACTAGCCGGAAGATATTTTTGGATCTGCTTCGATTCAGGAATTTTCCTTTCTTGGCCGTCAAACCTGTTTGTTATTGGGTTTAGATCCTTTTTTCTTTACGGGTTTTGGTTTCAGTTGTGTATCCTCTCTTTTTTCATTGTTCGGGTCTTGATCTGCTTCGATTCACGTTTTGTGCACCCGACCTGTGTTCGTACGTATTGGCTCCATGCGCACGCATCCTGTTCCGACTGGTTTTGAAAACAATCGAATGAAACACCAACTTGTGTTCGTACGTACGGGTTCCCTGCGGACGCGTCCTATTCTGATTGGTTGAAAAGAAAACAAAAATCAGTTGAGTAGTCACTTCATTCAAATCTCCTTAGCGCGGACCGGATGCGGTGACTGTAGGTGGCTACCGAAAAAAAAAAGTGAACAATTTAAAATCAAGCGGCTTTTTCAAGCGGCTATGGGGCCTAGGGTGACGCGGTGGCATGCGTGGGTGAGGAGAGATGTGGGTTTCGGCCCAGCCCAGACGGGGTCGGGGTGGGCTTCAGAGAGGAGGAGGCAGGATGAAAGATAGGATACTAGGAAATATCTGTCTTTCCAAAAATTTTGCAAATATTTTGAGAAGGATTTCAAAACTCTATTCGATCGTAGTCGCACTTTAAAATCATTTTGCACACAAACAAACACTTTTCATACGACATGAATCCAACAAAGTTCTTTATACCCTTTGCCATGTTTATTTTAGTTTTACAAAATATTTTTTTTCCTCCTTTAATAATTATGCGGTAGCTAATTAATTCCAGAAAAAAAATTACTACAAAAATTTGAATAAGGGTGTTACATTTTCTGACCGCCTAGAGAGTGCCAAGAAAGGCAAGAGCGTTGGGAAGCGGATGTTGGATAATATGGCAGTTTGGAGCCACATGGGAGACCGTGGCCTCGCTTAATAACTTGGGGCTGAAGCCTTTGAGAGGAATAAGTTGTGTTGTGACAAAGTACTAGGACGAGGTCTCGAGAAGACACTTGGGCCTAGATACGAGTTTGTCACCTTCTTTGTGGAGATGATTACATTCACTATCATTTTTTTTTGAAGAGTGCGGAGGGGTGAAGGCCCTACAGTGAACCTTTGAAATCTTTCAAAATTTTTGGGGTTTCCCTCCGCTTAAGCTCCTTTTCATAATATTGCTAGGTAGTTTTCCATTTGGGTAAAGCTTCTCTCGTACCGGAGTTGATTGAAGGGTTGTCCAGATCTCTTAGAAAAATTGCCTCTTTTTTAGGGAGAAAGACCATTTCCGAGCAACTTTGGGTGGTTTCTGTCATTAGCCGACCCTCTCCAAAGACAATGCTTTCTATACTTGTCTATTTGCTTGATCACAGATGGTGGCAAGGTTAAGCTGCACATGAAGAAGGTTGGCATTGAGGAGAAGAATGAGTTTGTTAATTTCAATATGCCCGTTTGGGAAAGAAAGGTTGAGACACTTGCAAGCCTTATCTCACATCATTCACCATGGGCGAAAGCCTTCAACTTTAGGCTTGAAGTGATACCCAAAGGCAGCTCCGAGTATGTCAAAGGTAAAGATCCCTTGTCACAACTAAATGTTTGGGCTAAATGGTCTAGTTTTTGCTCAGAAATATTAATTGAGACCATCATTGATTTTTGAAAATTGATCTTTAATCTAGTAGAAGCTGAGAAAGAGTTTAACAGGGCTTTCAGAAAGAGTAGTTGATTGGCATTGCCTTCTAGGATGATCAGTGTATCATTAGCATACTGCAGAATTCTAAAACCCCTTTTGGAGCTTAAAGGGATTGGAAGGTTTAGTATCCCCATGTCCTTTGCCTTATTAACCATGCATTGAAGAAAATTAGCTGCTAAAACAAAGAGCAAAGGTGATAGAGGGTCTCCATGTCTTACTCCTCTTCTGCAATGTATTGTTTTGCCTAGGACACCATTCAGTAGCACTTCTGAAGTTCTAAAGGAAAGAATATGTTCCATCCAAGACAACCATTTTTCGCCACCGGCACTGGCCTGGACGGGAAACGGACCTTCCTAAACCCTCCAGCGCCTAAGCGATCGGTTATGTGAATAGTCACATAGGGGGCGAGCCACCAGGGGCGTCTCATCTTATTTATAATCGTGTTATGGGCCAGGGTGCCGAACCCTAGAAGTCTAAGGATTGCCGCCGATCATGGCAGATCTTATTTAGTTGGAAATAAATGATAGGTGGGTGGACAAAAACTTAACGCTTAATTAACCTCATAATTAAGTTCGAGGTTAGCCGAAACGATCACATTCCAATAGAACCTACATCATCTCTCTCTCTTTCTCTCACACACACTAGGAGCCAAGCTATGTATAGTGCTTAGGGGTACAAATACACCGCCTAAAAAATACATATAAAAACAATCATTATGACAAAATTTTTACCTTATGTATGTATCTCCTATAGCACAAGCCTATGCACCACAAAGCAAGTGCACCCCTTTCTAATTTGCCCTAGTTTCACCACACACTTTTCTACCAACGTAACCCACCACTAACTGATCCAAGCACGCCTTTTCCCTTTCGGATGTTTTCCGCCACCGTGACCACCGTGGCTGTCCCACCCCCAACCACCGTCATTGTCGACTGCCTTTCCCACATAACGTAGCTCTGTAGCTCTCATTCATACACAGAGCTTGAAGCAACCCCATCATTCATCAACAACTGAAATTTGGGCGAGCTGTGTGATTAAGAAACGAATGAGGACAACTTGATATTGGTGAGCTCAAGACATTCAATAACTAGTCTTGCTTATGTATGAACAAAAAAAAAGCATGCAAAACAAGATTATTGGACAATTAGGCCATATATTAATTAGCAACTCAACATTGCAAATATAAGCACACAGGCACAATGGTAGGGCGTCTCTCCACGGATCGGATGAAAACTCAACGCTTACATGAATAATATAATTGCAATTGCAAAGCAACAAGCAGTACGTACGCGCGTAATCAACAAGAAGCTAATAAGGAACAGAGATAAGCATGATTAGGCGCCGCCGGTGAGCTCCTCCTCCAAGTGCGTCGCGATGACGACGTCGGAGGTGGGGTAGGCGTGGCAGGTGAGCACCCAGCCGGCGGCGATCTGGTCGTCGTCGAGGAAGCTCTGGTCGGACTGGTCGACGCTGCCGGCGACGACCTTGCCGGCGCAGGAGGAGCAGGACCCCGCGCGGCAGGAGTAGGGCAGC